TGTCTTAGGTGCTAGGACTCTGTGGATGAAGGATAGGGCCTTGCTGCCAAACCTACACGGGCTTAGTAGGACCAAAGCTCTACTCTGGCACTTCGAGACCTGGGCATGAGCGGCGAGCGCTCGTTAAACAACTCGTCTAGCCCAATGACCGGTACTGTCCGGCAGGTCTACTGAGTTCAGTGTAGAGGGTCTGAACTCCGGGCTGTAGGCTGAAACGAGGGCCGTCTTTAAGTGTTGAGGCCTGGTTGAGCCACTCCCCTACCGGACCTATTACAACTGATGATCTGTGTCTGACGACTCGACTGCCCCGAGGGATACGAACCCCTCCAAGGACCGGTACAGACCGGCGGGCTGCTCGGTGTGGCACAGTAGGCTGGAACGGCTGAGTTGTGGGCTGAAATCGCCAGGAAGAACCAAGCTGATCACGTCGTCCTGTCTGCGACGTTAAAGAATTCTTGAGGAGTTACGGGGGATCTCCTTAAATGCCTCCAGATCAGCTTTTGGTTAGTGACCATAGTTGACAGGGTCTTACCCTGTGGCCCTTAGGAAGTCGGTCAGTAGGTTTGTGTCCGGGTAGGTCCAAGTGGTGAGGAGTGGGACCTTTGTCGTGCACCTGACACCACCATGGTAGATACCCGACGCGGCACCTCCACTATGCCGTACACAAAGGAGGAGGCGGCGAAGATGGCCGCCATCCTGCAGGAGAGAAAGGAGGAGGAGGAGGCCAAGAAGAAGGCCTTGAAGGAGGAGCAGGCGGCCAAATTGAAGAAGATGGAAGAAGAGATGGCCAGGGAGAAAGACAAGTTAAAGAAGGAAGAAGAAGAGAAACTGAAGGCGGTGGATGAAGAAGAGGACGGTCCGCCACTGCAAAGGAGTAGTGGGCAGCCCAGTAGTAGTATCGATGGAGACCTGGAGAAGAGGATATCTGAATGGGTTGCCAACCTGACTATGGGAGAAGAGGAGGAGGTCAGTATGTATATCCCGCTGGATCAGCAAGAAGCTGCCATGAAGGCGTGGGATGCAGAGAAAGACCCTCTTAAGCGTCAAGCGTTGGAAGACGAGAAGAGGATGGAATGGAAATTAGCGGTGATGAGGGAGAAGAAGAGGAGAATTGACAAGGCAGCGGAGGCGGCAGAGGCCTTAGAGGAAGTGAAGAACATAGAGGCGCAACTACCCGCCCAGCCCGATCTCCCGAATCAGATGCGAGTCATAGTTCGGAGCGTCGCATGCCTGGCGCGGGTTCAGGCAGACCAATATGACTTTAGCAGAAGTCAGGACATAGCTGTGCGCTCGATACGGTTGGGCTTTCGAGACTTTGCTCGTGAGCTGGAAGGCGCCGTTGGAGCCGAGGTGGGTCACCGCCTCGACAAGACTGAGCGGTTCTGCGCTGGCGCCATTGAAGGCGTCAAGGCGGCAGCTCCCAAGGAGGAGGAAGCACGTCCTCCTCGCCGGGAGCCTGTCAAAGTCAAGTTCCCCAATTCCTACAGTGGGAAGAGGGAGGAAAACTTTGACAATTGGGAGGCCAACGTTAAGACCTATGTGCACTTGCAACAGGTCTCCCCAGATCAGCAAGTCCTAATTGTTATCCACGCGCTGAGAGATGAGGCCACCAGTTTTGCAAGGTCCCTAGTTCGCGTTGCCAACTATAGTGATGATCCCGTTGCGTACTCCTCATTTACGTCCCTCACCGAATTCCTGAAGTTGTTGCGCGAGCGATTTGCTGATGTCGCTCGCATTGTCAAGGCCTCAGACAAGCTCCAAACCATCCATTCTCGTAAATGGAAGAGTGCCAGGGCACTCAAGGGTACAATGGATGAGTTGGTGGCCGTCCCTGACCATTGGGTCACAGAGGGCCAGTTGGTCAACCTCTTTTACYGGGCTATGCCCGAAGCCTTTCGAGGGCAGTTCTTCGCGAAGAGCGAAGACCCTGCCACCACTTACGATTCCCTTAGTCGTGAGGTGGTGGCTTTTAAAGCGAAGTCAGTGTCCCCGTCCACCTTTTGGCATAAGGATTTGGACAAGGGAAAGCAATGGAAAGGCCGCACTATCTCAGGGCAGGTAAAGACCAAGGATAGCCTTGTCCTGACTTTAGATGAGGGTAGTGTGGATGAGATTCCCTACGATCAGATTGAGTGGGGGCTAGAGGACGCGGACAGCGGTGTGGGCCAGGGGAGATCCTACGCTACTGTCGCGGCCGGAAGGAGGCCGCAAGGAGGAAGAGGCCAGGGCCAAGGGTGGCGGGCCTCAGGGAGCCGGTTTCAGGGCGATCAGGGGGTTGGCGGCAGAGGAGGAAACCGCCAAGCGGGGGGAAGGGGTCAAGGTCCCCCGCAAAACCGTCCTAGGAACAGGTCTCCCTATAGAGTAGGAGGATGGCACCCAGGGCTACCACAGGGTAGGCCTTGGGAATCTTTGGGTCTGGACCAGACTTTATGGCAACAACGATTGGACCGGGGCCAGTGCATCTTCTGCGGTGACCCGGGCCATATCATCAAATATTGTCCTAAGYATAGAGAGACCCGAACGGCTGCCCAAGGGCCAAAAGGCAGCCGCCGGTAGGGGTAGCAACTGCCCCTACCACTAGGCCATGTGGGGAAAATAGCACTAGCCGGCAGGAGACTCCCACACCGCATGTGCCTACGACAGAGGTTGCAGGCCGGTGTCAAGACAGCTGTCCCGAAGCTGCTTGTGTTAGAGTTTCGCTAGACACCTCCCTCACAGCCGTGGCCGAAGAGTTGAAGGAGAGGATGCCCGCCTGGGCCAAGATGAAGAAGGAGAACAAAGGGCAACTTATATTACTAGATACAAAGATTTTTAGAAGTAGAGTAGGGGCCCTAGTAGACTCAGGGGCCACTCATAGCTATATTAGTAGGAAAGCGCTGCAGAAGTTGAGGCTGGGACTTAAAATCCAGAAACTGACAGACCCCATAGTTAGTATCCTCGCGGACAATCGTACTATGATTGTAGAGGATTACGTAGAGGGAGTCCAGGCGTATTTCCGCCTTGAAAAAGATGGGAAAGTGGAGAAGGTCCTCCACTCCCTGACTCTCCTCGTAGAGGACAGCCCCCCATTTGACATTGCCCTGGGAATGGACTGGGGAGAGGCAGTCGGGGCCACGCTCCATTTGAAGGAGCACGAGTGTAGGCTCCCTAGTTCGTCAGGCGAGGTCAAGACTGCCCGCTTGTTCCATGTGTCAAGGGTAAAGAATTCCTTGGCGCACTGCTGCCTTAGTGCCCCCGCGTTCGCCAGACTGGTGAAGAAGGAGGGATTGGAGGAACAGGTCTTTGTTGCCTATGTTAGGCCAATGACTGAGCCTACGTAGGAGAAGCCAATGGACCCCGCGATTGCCAAGCTGCTGGAAGAGTTTAAGGATTTGACTGAGCCGCCGACAGGCACACTGTCGCGGCCCATCCAGCACCGTATTGAGATAGAGCCTGGCAGTAGAACTCCCAAGGGTGCGGTGTATAGGATGTCCCCGCGGGAGTTAGAGGAGATGCGGAAACAGTTGGACGAGCTCCTTAAAAAGGGTTGGATTAGGCCCTGTTCGTCTCCTTTTGGAGCCCCTGTTCTCTTTGTACCTAAGAAAGAGGGAGAGCTAAGGATGTGTATAGACTATAGGGGTGTGAATGCCATTACAGTGAAGAATGCTGAGCCACTGCCTAGGATAAACGATCTCTTAGATCGAGTGCAGGGGGCGAAGTATTTCTCCAAGATATATTTGAAGTCCGGATATCATCAGATAGAGGTACATCCTGATGATCAGTACAAGACGGCCTTCCGGACTAGATAAGGGCACTACGAGTTCATAGTGATGCCCTTTGGACTAACCAATGCGCCAGCTACGTTCCAGCGCTGTATGAACGATTTGTTTAGGTCGTGGTTAGACAGGTTTGTTGTAGTTTATCTAGATGACATCCTAGTGTTTAGCCGGACCCTCGAAGAGCATCAGGGTCATCTCAGGCAGGTCTTGGAGAAGTTGAGGGAAGCTAACTTCAAGATCAATGCAAAGAAGTGCGATTGGGCAAAGACCCAAGTTCTGAACCTAGGCCACGTCTTAGAAGGAGACGGCGTTAAGCCAGAAGATAGCAAGATCGCAACGATTAGAGATTTTGGCCCACACCACGAACGCTAACAGAGTTGCGCTCGTTCCTGGGCCTAGCTAACTACTATAGGAAGTTCGTGAGGAACTTCTCCACCATTGTTGCGCCCCTTCGCAGATTGCTGAGAAAAGAGACAATCTGGAAGTGGGACAAGGACTGCACGTCTGCCATGAAGAAGCTAAAGCACGCATTGATAGAGTATCCGGTCCTTAAGGTCGCCGATCCGTCCTTGCCTTTTGTCGTTACTACGGATGCTAGCCAGTACGGCATAGGCGCAGTGTTACAGCAAGACGATGGCAATGGCTATAGACCCGTAGAGTTCATGTCCGCCAGGATGCCTTCAGAGAAGGTCGCGACATCTACCTATGAAAGGGAACTCTACGCTCTCAGGCAAGCCTTAGACCACTGGAAGCACTACTTGCTTGGGAGGCACTTCAAAGTCTATTCTGACCATGAGACATTACGATGGTTAAAGACGCAGGCCAAGATGACACCTAAGCTTACTAGGTGGGCCGCAGAGATAGATCAGTATGACTTTGAGCTCAASCCKGTCAGATGTGTATAAGAGACAGCACCTAAGCTTACTAGGTGGGCCGCAGAGATAGATCAGTATGACTTTGAGCTCAACCCGGTCAAAGGGAAGTACAACGTAGTCGCGGATGCTCTGAGTAGGAGAGCGGATTACTTTGGGGCAATAGTACATTACCTCGATATAGGGAAGGACCTGCAGAAGAGGGTTAGAGAAGCTTACGCGCAGGACCCTATCTATAGTGAGCTCCTTAAGAAAGTCAAGGAGGCCCCAGAGACTGAACCGAATTACCGCACTACCGAAGGGTTGCTTTTTGAGAAGACTAATGTGTCTGACTGCCTGTGCATCCCCAATAGCGAAGAGATTCGTAGTCTGATTTTGGGCGAATGCCATGATACAGAGGGTCACTTTGGTTGGCAAAAGACTTTAGCCAATCTTATGCGTGCGTATACCTGGCCAGGGATGAAGAATGACTGTGTAGAGTATGTTCGCAGTTGCAAAGTCTGTCAGCGTACTAAGAGTTCTACGCGCGCCCCGCTAGGTCTTCTCAGACCCTTGCCCATTCCGGATCAGCCGGGAGACTGAATGTCAATAGATTTCATGGACACTCAAAGTCAAGAGCAGGCATGGCAAGAGCCAAGTCATGGTCATAGTTGACCGCTTTAGCAAGTACGCAGTTTTTGTTCCTTTGCCTTCAGAGGCGCGTACTGATTTAGTCATACAGAGTATCTTTAACTGTTGGGCTAGTGAGAACGGAATCCCGCTGTCAATAGTTAGTGATAGAGGTAGTCGCTTCACCAGCCAGAACTGGCAAGAACTCGTGGGAGTGTATGAATCCAAGTTGTTGATGTCGTCCGGCCGTCATCCAGAGACTAACGGTCATACGGAGCAAATGAACAAGATCCTACAGCAAGTTCTGCGCATGTATATTAGGCCGGATCAGATTAACTGGGATGAGATGTTGCCCAAAGTAGCTAGTGCGTACAATAATAGCGTGCATCTGTCTACATGTCGCACTCCCAACGAACTGCACAAGTCCTTTAGACCGCGCAGACCGTTTGAGGGACTCAACCGGGATCAGATTCACAGATTGCCGCCGGGGACCCGGGAGTTTGCTGTGCAGCACGAGAAAGAACTAGCTACCGTTGTAGAAAACCTCAGGAAAGCCCAGCATAAGATGATAGAGCAAGCGAACAAACATCGTCGCCCTTCACAGTTCCAAGTAGGCGACTTAGTCTGGGTTAGTTCCAAAGAGTTCGCGCCTCAGAAGTTACTGCCCACATATAGAGGACCGTGGCCTGTCCTGGAAGTCAAGGGCGGCGAAGATGGACCGTCCTATACCATAGAACTCCCAGCACACCTCCACACGTACCCAGTTTTCCACGCATCGAAGTTGCTACCTTGTCAGACAAGTGACCAGTTTCCATCCCGTAGATCGATGATCCCACCGGATATGGATGGAAGATACGACATAGATGGTATAGCGGCTGAGGATGTCTTCAGAACTGGAGGTAGAGGTCGTCCGCAGAAACAATACAAGGTTCATTTTAGCTATCAGGAACCGGAAGACGACCGCTGGTTTACAAGATCTGAACTCCTAGAGACAGCTCCCGATATAGTCCGGGCCTATGAGAGACAACAGAAGGGTAAAGGTCCTGCCTTGGACTGAATTTTTCTCGGAGGACTTCGAATTTAGGCCGGCGGGAGTGAAACGGTAATCACCAGTTCGCAGTAGTGAATGCAGATCCCAGGGCTCGATCCCTAGTTCCCTATCTTACCTGTGTACAGTATTGATGTCAACCCGTAGACTTGAACCCGCGACCTGTAGCCAGTGGTAGGCAGGGTTTCGTAGGTCACAGCTTAGAAGGGAATCGAACTGTAGACCTGTAGGGTAGGAGTCCAGAGTTCCAAAGTCGTAGCTGTAGGATGCCTGAAGAGTCAAGGTCTTAGCTGCTACTTACCTGAAAGGGCAAAGTCGTAGCTGCTACAGTACCGAAAGGCCAAGTTCGAGACTTCTAGAAGTGGCCTTTCGGAGTTGGCCTGTGTTCAGCAGAGGCAAGTGGTCAAGTGGTGGTAGTCCACCTAGCCCAGTCAGCAGTCCCAGTTAGTCAGTCCGGTCCTGTTCAGCAAGTACCGTCTGGGACTGTGTGCACATCGTGGGCCAAGGGATACAGGGCAGAACAACGCAGCGCAGAAGTATAAATCAAGAGGCTGCGTCCAGCCATTCATTCATTCCTGCGGATGCCATGCGGAAGCGCTGCCCCAGCAGCTTGTGCGAGGAGGTCTGCAGTGCGCCYGAAGACGAAGAGGGCAGTGAAGTGTAGTGTAGCGATAGGATAGTGGCAGCCATAGCTGCCATAGCTATAGTGCCGTGTGTGTGTGTGTGTGTGTGTTGCGTGTAGAGTGTTGCGTGTGGGACATCCAGGGTGATCCAGAGTGCGAACAGTGAGTTGTGTGGGCGCTCAGTCGCCATAGCCAGTTGAAGAAAACTCCTACCTGGTTACAACATCTTGAGTACTGTGTGGGCGCATGTCGCCAGTTTGCTGTTTCGCTGTTTGCATGCATGACAAGTGTGAAGAAGTCGAGTCTGATTGCAATTTAAAGTTTTAAATTTGAATAGGTATGGTATATTGTGTGTTGCTGATATCAAACAGCCGGCTCTTGCACACGTCCTCCTCAGAGAGGATTAGCAATGGCCCATGCACAGTAGCAGCACACACACAAAGAAAAAGAAAAGGAGGAAAAACAAAACACGATAGTTGTCCAGATTTCTTTCAAAAACAAAGTTAAAAAGGACAAAAAAAAAGAAGACAAATGGGGTTTGGGTTGTTCCGCATGTGCTCCACACCTCCTGATCTGGTAACATTTACACCACCACTACCTTTCCCAGGCAACTTCAGAGTCCAAAATGTAACATTCCGGGTTCTTCAGAGGTCGGCTGCTACCGAACAAAATGGCTGGTGGCGCCAGCCAGAAGAAAGGGGGGGGTGTAAAGGAATGTCGTGTACTGGAGCTTTGGCAAAGCTTGGCGCGGAGGGGAATCCCCTCTTACAAAACGAGGCTTGCAGGTAGTAGTCGTAAAAATTCAAACCAAAAAAAACAAAGCAAAAAAAAGACAATAACACAAAACCGAAAAAGGAAAACGAACTAAAACACAGGTTCTTGCATCTGTTCTTTCGTCCTGATCTTTGAATGGCGTCCTTCTCGCAGAGGCCAGGCGCTACCGGATAAAATGGCTGGCAGCACCTGCCACAACGGGCAGGGAAAAAAAAAAAAAAAAAAGCCGTGCTGGAGCTTCGACAAAGCTTGGCGTGAAAGGGGAATCCCCCTCTTACAAAACGAGGCTCGGAGGTAGTGGTTGTTTGAAGTTTAAAACGATATAACAACAACAAAAAAAAAAACTTCAAAAAGACAAAGGAAAAAGGAAAAAGGAAAACGAAACAAAACACAGGTTTTTGCGTCTGCTCTTTCCTCACCTCCTGATCTTCCAACGGTGTCCCTTCTACAGCAACCAAAGCATTGATTGGCACGCTTTCTGGATGCTCGGGAAGAGTCGCAAGCGTATGCAGCAAGCCAACTCTGTCACCCACCCCCTCCCCCATCCCAATAATGCCACCTTACGCCCCCCAAAAAAATACAAGAAGAAGAAAGAGGAGAGAAGACGTCAAAATTATTCCAGCAATAAACAAACGCCACTCGCTCATATTTGTCTTTCATTCTTTTCTTGGCTAGCAGCGCAGCCGACGCGTGGGAAAAGGCATTTGAACCCCCAACCTTAGCGTCTCATCGCACTCAGTCTTCAGCAGGAACGGGTTGCTTCCACATCAAACTCCAATGAAACAGTCCGCCACAGCCTCTAGTTTGTTGACCTCTTTCCCTCTCGCCTACGCTTCACCCGGCAGTTCTCTGTGACGATATATAGTCACAGAGAAGTGCCCGGTGAACCATAGGACATTGCTCCACTACTCACCAAATGTGCCAAATGAGAACGAGTCTCCCACTAGAACATGGGAAGATACACCGCCATATTTCTTGTCTTTTGTGCATGTGGTGAGTAGTGAAGCGAGGCCTACAGATAGAAAGTGGAGAAAAGAACAAGAAACTGGGAAAGAGCGGCTGTGCCACACTGTTTTCGTGGAGTTTGACTGACTCTGCCTCATCACAAGGCTGAACCCTATAGTGCAGCCCCCCCTTTCCCCCTCCCCCTTCTTTCTTCCCTCCCTCTCGCCCAGTCCTTCGCCTCCTTCCCTCCCTCTGTCCCTCCCTCCTTCCTTCCTTCCTCAGCTTCCCCTTATATGACAATTAAGAGCGTAAATGACCGACTGCCGGTCTGTTGTTTCTTAATGGGATACACCACGACACAGTCTGCACAGCAGGCAAAAAAAAATTATAGCTGTATTTGGTGCAACATCAGATAGGGCTTGAACGGTGAGGAGCAGAGCAGATGTTAATTGGCTCAGTGAAAGACGGAAACTATCACCGTAACCCGAATACAGCACGTGGGCATTATTGCCGTACCTAGACAGAATGTTGCACCAAATACAAAGCTATAAACGACCGGGCGTTCTAGTTGGGTGAAGGAGGAAGACGAGAACAGATGCTTTAAGAAATGCAGAGCCAGTTGATGCTCGCTTAGTTCAGACAAGATGAGTCAAAAAAAACAGGAGGCGCAGACCCCATTTAGCTACATCTATGCAGTCTTCATAAGGAAACTGCACACTCAAAATCAGATGGCAAAATCAGACCATCAAAACGAGACTTGTGTTGACAATGTAACATACATACATTCACCTGCACTGGACTGCAAAACCACAAATACAAACACATAGCTCAGTGGCGGCTGCCGCTTTATTCTTTCGTCAGAGCACCTTGCCTGAGAAGACAGCACCCTGCCAGAGCAGAAAACGTTGTTTGTTTCGAACCCTCAACAATAAGAGTAGCCATTGTCTGTGCCTTCTTTTTAATTTTTTTGTTGAAGGGCAACAAACTGACCGGCCCAAGGTACTTCGGAGAGAATTTACTCATCTGTTCCATCAGGATTCGAACTGACGTCTGCTTACCAATAGGTCAAGGGTGTACCATTCCACTCAGCCATATGGACAAGGTCATTGTGTGTGCCTTCTTTGAAGATTTGCTCTTACTTCAGCAGCACCATACCTGAGCAGACATGGATGCCCGCATCGCGGACATGTTCAAGCGTCTGGAGACGTTCCTCATATGTCCGCGTCGTGATAATTGATGGATAGTATTCCGGCGAAGTGTCCAAGTTATGATTATACGCCGTCAGCCCCGCCTCCTTCAGCTGTTGTGCTTGCCCTGCTTCCAACATACCAAGGGTGCAGCAAACCTCCATCCCCATACCCCTGCCACGCACAAAATCCACCATGTGACACGACAGTGAGTGCGGTCGTCAAAATCCGACATGTCTGACGATGTGTGATGATGTCTGTGACGGTGTGTGACAATGTCTGACTAGACGTGTCTCGCATACAAAAAAATGAAAATTGTACACGCAGACAAAGAGTACTACGCGAGTACTAACGTACACGCGTACAAAGAGTACTACGCGAGTACTAAACTTGTGTTGTACTCTTATGTAGGTCAGCCGCCAGGTAATTAACGGGGGGTCTGTGGGGCCCCCCCACCAAAAAAAAAAACATGGGGGCATGCCCCTGGGGCCAGGACCCACTACCGCCGTATTATACCGTGTACGTACGGTTTTCAATCATGTGTGACAGAGTTGGATTGCTACATGCCATCGATGGCGGGGAAATTGTATGGCATCCTGAGTTTTGAACAGATTCAGGAAAAGCGAGAAAGTTTTGGCTGTGTACCCTACGCACCTGTGTAGCACATCGAACATGTTCG